GAGGTCCGCGGCGATGCACTACACCCAGAGTCGTATATAGAGATCTATCTATCTATCTCTATATACGGTTCTGACTACACCAGTAACGCATTGTTATTATGGTATCTGCCCACGACAGCAGAGTTATAGTAGTAGCGCAGCAGCAATATCAGCATCATCACCATCACTAGCAGCAGCAGCAGCCGCCGCCGCGTCACGCGAATGAACATTGCGACACAGTTCGTCTGCGGACAGATCCAATACAAGGTCGCAGCCGCTGAAAAAAATGCCCGCTAGAAGAAAATATAGATTTGTTGGTAATTTACAAACTCACCATGTGTGCGTATAGGGATATCGTAGAGCCGTGTGTACGACGTAAGCGAGTGAGCGAGACACAGACGCAGCACGTACGCACGCACGCACGCACGCACGCATGCATGCCACGCACGCATGCACGCAGCACCACAACATATATATATATATAATAATATATATATATAATATATATATATGAAGAGAGACAGCGAGACGCGGCCGATTGCGTATCTCATAAATTCAGGACGGGACACGGCATGATTATGTATGACGTGGGCAATTTCAGAACAATATGCATTGTTGACGCATCAAGTTTCCGATCAGCATATACTTCGATGATCACCGACAAACTGCTGCTGCGCGCGGATGAAATCACCATCACGAGATGCGCTTATTCATGAATGAAACTGACCTTGTGCTGTGATGAAAGCGCGTGCACGCATACATCAATATTATTATGCTAACAATGACGTACACGCCAAGACCGATATATTATATATATATATATATATTATATATATATATCAAGAGCTAATAAACACTATTGGGTACCTACACAAGTATTTTATTAGTCTTGATATGAATATATGTGTGTGGGTGTGACATGTGTGTGTGTGTGTGTGTGTGTGGTGTGTGTGTTACGTGCGTGACGTGGACGTGCGTGTGTGCGTGCGTGCGTGTGTGTTATGTTGTGTGGTGTGTGTGACGTGTGTGTGGGCGTGTGTGTGGTGTGTTGTGTGTGTGTGTGTGTGTGTGTGTGTGTGTGTGTGTATGTGTGTGGTATGTGTGTGTGTGTATGTGTTGTGTTTTGTGAGTGTGTCCGGGTATCTGTGTATATATATATAATATATATAATATATATATATATTATGTGTGTGGTGGTGGTGTGTGTCATGCTGTGTGAGTGTGTGTTGTGTGTGTGTGTGTGTGTGTGTGTGTGTAGTGTGATGTGTGTGGTGTGTGTGTGTGTGTGTGTGTGTGTGCTGTGTTGTGTGCTGTGTGTGTGTGTGTGTGTGTATGTGGTAGTGTTGTGTATGTATGTATGTGTGTGTGTGGTGTGTGCGGCAAGCGCACGCGCGCTCGTGGTGTTTATATTCCGTAGAACAGAAGACGAGGTGTAGACGCGCGTCACGGTTGTGTTGATGATTCGTAACTCGGTAGCTGCGTTGTAATGTGGTTCGACCTAATTGTTAAAAAGCTGCGGAGCTGTAGTACGAGACAGGCCGTATACGCCGGTGCTGCGGCAATCGCCGTGAACATAAAATCACTTTTAACATGATTAGCGTTTTCGGAAAGCAAGGTTCGCTTTAATTTTAGTCGAAGCTTTTCTGTGATTAATTGTCGATCGCCTGTGAACACACTTTAGCGGGTTCTATTACCGCACGTCGTGCGTGAGGAAATCTCGGTCGGGGCATGCAGGTACTAACTAGCAGGCAGGATCAAAACGTTGCACCTCAAAGACTACGCAAAAGACTAAACAAGTCATCATACAATATCCTAATATACTCAGTTGGTTTTCATAACTTTAACACTATATATTATATATATATAATTAATATATATATATATATATATATATATATATACTATATATATATGATTAGGCAAGGTGTATGCTATTCATAATGTACACGTAAAGTTATTTGTAATCTAATTATATATATGTAGAGTGAGCGCGGCCGTATCGCATGCTGTGTGGTGCAGGAATCCTGGATAGTAAGGTCTGTTGCATGATGTAATAAGGTAATGCTGGATAGTAAGGTCTTGCCATGATGTAATTGAGGTAATGCTGGGGATAGTAGATCTACCTGATTAATAAGTAATGCTGGTGATTAGTAAGCGTCATTGAATGATGATAATAAGGTAATGCTGAGATTTAGGTAAGTCTTGCATGATGTAAGTTAAGTAATGCTGGGATATAAGCGTCCTACCTGAAGTATATAAGGTAATGCGCGGATAGTAGGCGTCTTACCTGATCGTAATAAGGTAATAGCGTGATAGTAAGGTCTTGCATGATGTTAATAAGGTAATGCTGGGATAGTAAGGTCTTGCATGATGTAATAAGGTTTAAAATGCTGGGATATGTAGGGTCTTACCTGATTGTAATAAAGGTAATGCTGGGATAGTAAGGTCTTGCATGATGCTAATAAGGTAATGCTGGATAGAAGCCGTCTTGAATTGATGTAATAAGGTATATCTGGAAGTAGTAAGGTCTTGCATGATGTAGATAAGGTAATGTGCGGAAGTAAGGTCCTACTGATGTAATAAGGTAATGCTGGGTATAGTAAGGTCTTTGAAGATGATGTATATAAGGTAATGCTGGAATTTAGTAAGTCTTGCATTAACGATGTTAGTAGGTAATGCTGGGAATAGTAAGGTCTTACCTGATGTAGTAAGGCTAATGCTGTGGATAGTAAGGTCCTTACCTGAATGTAGTAATGGTAATGCTGGGATAGTAAGGTCTTACCTGCATGTAATTAGGGTCGACGGCGACGCCATTGCTGGTTCCCAACCGTTAGGGCCAGTTCACCGTTAGTCCGCCACTGTGCGTATTCCACAGCGTCGGCTGGAGGTAGCCGATTGCCCTGTCGCCCGTGTCCGCTGCTGCCAAAAACACAGCGACAACGATGATGATGATGCACACGTTGTGACGGCGCTCGATCATATACAGACGCGTATAGAGTTGTATTTATATAATAGCGTCATGTATGGTAACAGTTAGAGCGCGAGCCGCGACCACAGCCGCAGAGTACGGAGCAGCTGCTGTAGTGTGAGTGTGTTCACGGTTGGTGAATCAGGTGGATATATCGCGAAGCGTCTGCGCTGAAACATCGCATGAGAAATTGAGTGATCGCGTAGTAAAATAAGAGCTACTGGCAAAACGCGGAAGTATACATGAAAACAGAGAGTGTGAGTGAGAGAGATAATCGGAAAAAGAAAGAAGCATAGATAAGAAGGGAAGTAGAGATGTAAAGAAAGAGTGGTGGAGAACGAGTAATGACAGAATTAAAAGGGCGTGCAGAAAAAATGGAAAGAGAGGAGAGAGATTGAAAGAGGCATAATAACGGAGGAGAGAATTAAGAAGAAAAAAGAAGAAGAAAAGAGCAGAGAGAGAAGAATGAGAGAGAGAGAGAATGAAGAAGAAAGTAGAGAGATAGAGAGAGATAGACGCGGGGTGGTTATGCACATAGACTCACAGTGGTAAGCGAACACGTCTCTCATTAATCATCATCGAACACTAGACTGCGCGCGTCCTCCGTGAACAGGGCCACCACCAGCGGCCTAAACCCTGTTTCACTTCTTCTCCCTTCCTCTTCTCTCTCTCTCTCTCTCTCTCTGGCTCTCTCTCTCTCTCTCTCTCTCCTCTCTCCTCTCTCTCTCATCTTCTCTCTCTCTCTCTGCTACACTCATCTGCTCTCGCCCACCTGCCCTTCTTTCTCTTTCTCTCTCTCTCTTCTCTCTCTCTCTCTCTCTCGCTCTCTCGCTCTCTCTCTCCTCTTTCTTTTTCTCTTTCTCTCTCTCTCTCTTGCCTCTCGTTCTTAACCCTCTCGTTCTCTCTCGCTCACACACACTCCATCTCTTTCTTTCTCTCTCCTTTGCTCTCTCTCTCTCTTTCTATATTTTCCACTACACTTTGTGCCTCTCTTTTGCTCTTTCTCTCGCGCAATATACACATCTCTCTCTCTCTCTCGATGCACACTAAACTATGTGTCACGACAATAATCATGCAGCAAGCAGCGTATCCTATATCGGGCAGCAATTTAGCAACTAACGGATTACTGTTCTTAAAACAGCGTATAGCTTCAATTACGCGTAAGCGCGGCCCGCGGTGACCCTAAGTTCACGTGGGTTCACGCGCTCTTCTAATAACCACAGCGATGGACTTTAACTATACACCATATATGCAGAGAGCCTATAATACTTCATTATTATCCGCTCTGCGGCTGCGCATAACACTGCGACTGTTTCGCGTTCGGAAGGGCAACCAAGTAGCAGACCATGGAGAAAAACTCGACAGTGTTACGTCATTTGTCAGTATAATAAATAACAGCCGACTAGCCAGTAGGCGGCGCGCGCGACACCAGGCGTTGACAGCGTGACCCACATCTATTTGCACAAAAGGCGTGACCTTGGGTTGTGTACGAGGCCGCTCGTGGCATGTAGCTACGCGAAATCTACAAACAAACACAAATAACAAACACGACGTGAAGACACGAGAACAACAAAAACAACGCTATACAAGTGCAGTAACAGCGTGATAACCATAAGCACAACACAATAAACAATGACAAACGCAATACAACAACAAACGCAGCGCAATAATAACAACCATGACAACAACAGAATAACATCCAGCACAGCACAATTAACATAAAACCACAAACAACACAGCGGACACAGTAAATGATTAAGCAACAGCCCTATGCGTGGTCACACATAATACGACGTATACACTCAAATCGTGCGTTACGAACACGGTGGCGATGACAACTCGTGCTTCCATACCAACCCCAGCAACCACGAGCACCGCATGGGAACCCAGCCAACTCACGGCTAATAACCGTTTGCTCGCACCTCGCGCGCGCGCGGTAGTTGCAAGTGTTCAGCGTACATCGTGTCGCGTCGATCAACACATGGCGACGTGGAATTTACGACCACGCAGGCTACCCGTTATTTACGGGTATAACGCGAAATGTGGGTGACACGCAAAATTTCAATTTCTAAGTTAGTGCTCTCCGGCCGCCCCCGCTGTGCGCGCCGGTGTTTATTTCATTCGGAAATTCCTCGGCTGCCGTGCTCATGCGGTGCAGCGTGGTATGCAGCCCCCTTATGTCAAACGTCCCCCTTGCGTATGGACAATAAAGGTGAAATTATTATGCCCGTGTACAATGCGCAATGCGCCCTGTTAGAACGGGCGATAGTTGATAGATGATTAGACAGATGCTCGTGTGAGTATTTGTACAAGCGCAGCTAAATTCCACTCAATATAATGTAGAAAAAGGAAATCAATCAATTAATCTACTAATATAGATGCAGCTAGATTCTACACAAATGTCATAATCATTCACTCGCAGTACAAGGCGTCTTCCCGCGAGCTCTCAGATGACAGACACGCTGTAGGCCCGTTTCACTACAACGTCTCACGGCGTAGTAGCATCGCAGCATCTCCCCTGGATGGGAAAATGTACCGAATGAGAAGATGTAAGTTCGGATTCGAAAGTAGCGTATGGAACGAAAGCGAAACCCCGTAAGTATACATGAAAACGAGGAGAAGGGGAAGATAGGGAGAGAAGAGGGGGAGAGAGAGATAGAGAGAGAAAAGGAGGGCGAGGGGGAAGAGAGAAAGCGAGAGAGAGAGGGGGGGAGAGATGAGAGAGAAAAGAGCGAAGAACAGAAGATAAGATAAACAGATGTGTTTATTTCGCCTTCTTTTTCTTGGCTTCATCTCTCTCTCTCTCTCTCTCTCTCTCTCTCTTCTGTCTTCTCTGTCTCTCATGTCTCTCTGTCTCTCTGTCTCTCTGTCTTCTCTGTCTCTCTCTCTTTCTCTCCCTCTCTTTCTCTCTCTCTTTCTCTCTCTCTCTCTCTCTCTCTCTCTCTCTCTCTCTCTCTGTCTGCATGTCTGTCTGTTTCTCTCACACACGGCCACGATCTCTCTCTCTCTCTCATTTATATCCGCCTCTCTCTTTCTCTTTGTCACTCACTCTCCCGATCTCTCCCTCTTGTTTTCTTTCTGTTTCTCGCTCTCTTCCTCTTTCTCGCCTTCTCTTTCTCTTTTTCGCACCTCTCGTTCTGCCGTCTCTTGCTCTTATTTTGTTTCTTACGCGCGCTCTCTTCCTCTTTCTCGATCGCTCTCTCTTCTTCTGCATATCTCATCTCTCTCATGCGCGCGCTCTCTCTCTCTCTCTCTCTCTTTCGCCATCAACCCCGTCCCTCCTCACTTCCATCCTTATGTCACTGTCATAAGGAAGGCGTGTTCAATTGCCTCCCAGCAAAAAAATATCACTAACAACTGAAACAGGTTACATAAGCCATCCTTGCCAGCGGTGGGTCCCAGTGCTGAGCCAGAGATTTCACGATACGTACGAAGAAGACAAACCGCCTGCCGTCCTCGCCAGTATCACGACAATGATCAGCATCGCCCGCTAAATCTCTACAACTACTCACGCACGAGGTTAATATCAGACATTAACAACTAGACAATCACTACCAGTACTAACGATCCACCGCTAACACCTAGGCGCAGGACAAAATAACGCAAAATATCTATATGATATATAATGATACGGACCGAGTCACCTTAACAACTACGGCATACGCCCGACGTTCCCACAATGCGTGACTATATTAGCTTTGTGCACTAACTTCAGCAAACGCTCAACACATTCGGTGGTCGGCATGTGGCAGTGTCTTCTCTTGGGCGCGATAAATACATGTCACGTCAAATTATAACCCGTTCATTATCGGTTCTACATCATAGGTGTAACATCGAATGAAGAAAGCCACGCCGTCGGCCGTCAGGGCACGCACCGAACATTTTGTGAGTCTACGCGATGCCAAACCTGTGACTAATGCCAGCTCAAGGAAAATCCCAGGCGTATCTTTTTTAGACAGGTGTCCGCTCTATAGCTGTTATTTCGCTGTATAGGTGCAACGCAAAGAACACGCAAAAACTGTTCTTTTACAGACAGATATCTGTTGTATAGAGATTGTTTCGCTGTATACGTGTCACTCAAGGAATACGCCTGAGCATGTACTCGTGTATTTTATCAACAGATATCTGTTACATAGAGGTATCCGCTAACACAGGGTTTACTGTGTATTCAAACGACAGTTTGTAATCATCGCGTGATTCAGCTTTCAATCATTGTTAGTGCTGCAAGCACATTAATAGTACTATCATACTACTCCTCTTGTATATGGTATTATATAATAATATTTTATTATATATTACAATATCCTGTCACGCGCGTGAAACAGTGTCATAATTGTCATCGTCATCATCGTCACCATGGCTGGGATATAATTATCCGTAATGGTAGGGTTGCAGGGTTGTTGCTGCTGCGGTAGTTTAGATGATCGGCGCGTTATTACGCCGTCGGAAGTGCACGTAGATAACAGTTACCGCGGCTGTTAGATGAGCTAGCAGAGAGAATCACAACTAGTGTCGTAGCAGCCATCATTGGGTCATATTGCTTTTGTTCTTCCGGATCAAATCTCTCTCTAGCGCGCGCTTTATATATTTATATTAATTAATATTTAATCGGAGATTCACTGTCTCTTCCTGTATCTGCCTGTTTCTCTCTCTTTCTCACTCTCTCTCTCTCTCTTTCGCGCGCTCGCTCTCTCTCTCTCTCTCTCTCTCTCCGTCTCTCTTTCTGCTTACTACCTTTATTCCTCTCCCTCTCGCCTCTTTCTTTCTTTTCCTCTCTCTCTCTCTTTCTCGTCCTCTCAATATCCCCCTCACTGACCCCTCTATCTCCGTTTCCACATCTCTTTCTTTATC